TGAGTAGCTCTGTCTCAGTAGCTCTTTCTCAGCCTGAAACAATTTATAAGTCAGGACCATCCTGAGCTAAAGATAGTTTCTTAATAATTAATAGGATTTTGTTGATTTTTATTCTACCAATTTGTCCCATAGCTTTTTGAATCCCAAATCATGAGACTTTCCATGCACCTTAACGGTTGGACTCCAGCCTAAAGGTACATAGGATGAGTAGCTACATTGAAAAACCCCAATTAACCGTTGTTGTACAATGTACAGAAGAGAGGCCAGCACATTTCATAATAATTAGATATTTGTTTCAAATAATAGTCTCTTTTTCTCAGAGAGGTCCCACCTTTTGGTTTTGATTCTTCCCTTGTAATATCTCCATGTTGTCCTCCCCCATAAACAGGTGTCACTCATATATACTTTCATATATACTGAAAGCAACTATGTAATTAGAAATTTCTGTAATTACCTATCCATAGCTCTGCAGAATTTAATTTGCTTACATATGAGGGATGACTATTTTGCTATGACAGTTTTTTAAACTTTTTTGTTGTTTTTGAGGATAGACTAGCAGATACYGCATCAAGGCTACCCCATTCTTATTAACAGTCCTTCTCTGGCTTAAGTATGTTTTCGTATCATTGTTGTGATTATTATTACTGTGAGCACTACTACTATTACTACTACTACTACTACAGCCACTACTGTGTGTTTAATGCACAGCTAAACATCTTTCCTTGGCTCTACTAAAAACCCGAATTTTAAAACAAAAGCATTTTTTAAAAGCAGCTCTAATGCTAGGCATCCAAAATTGGAGGCAAGATTGCTGTTTTAAACAATAATATGTGTTTTTAATGTTTTAGAGTGCTAAAAAATGTCATGGAAAGAGCAATGGGGTTGGGCATGAAGGTGTAAGAGGTCATCTCCTCTGAACGTTTGTGACATCATTTATGTATTGCTATCTTCTCCTAAAGGAAGAAAGTGTTCTCTCCAAACAGCAGCAAAATAATGTGTCTGCGTTAAATAGCTTATCTACCTCACTCTTTCACTGATTTATAATTATATAGACTGTCCCACAGCACACAGCCTTCGCTGTCCAGCTTTCTATAAATTTGGGACACTGTGCAGACAGCCTGTGCTTAGGGTCCCACTGAGCATCTCACCCCTCACCTTTAGCACCCCAGCACAGCCTGCATGCTGCAAGACAGCTGYTCTCCCTGTCTCTGTTGAGGATGAGCTAAAAGGCCATGGCAGGTCAGACACAGAAGATAGACGACTACCACAGGGCAGTAGCAAACAGGAGCTATCACTGACTTCTCAGCCCCTCTTCACCAGAGATCCTGCAGTTCTGCCTTGGTGGTGCCAGCAGAGCTCGGCATCCCTGGAACAGCAGCTGCTCACCTTTGTAGAGTGGCGTTTCCCTGGCCTTGTTGGAGATGTCGGGCTCAGCCCCAGCCTGCAGCAGGGTGAGCAGGCAGTCCAGGTTGCCCCGGCTGGTGGCCAGGTACAGAGCTGTCTCCTCATTGAGGGTGCGCTGGTCGATGGTGCCGGGGTACGCTGTGAAGGGAGGGTGAGCCCAAAGTCATTGTGGCATGCAGTGCACAAGGATCTGCAGCACCATTGCCCTTCTAAATCCTTGAGGGTTTAAGTAAAATTTTATTGTTTATTTCTTTTCCTTTCTCATGAGCAATGTAAATTAGGAATATACTATAATGTTACTGTAACTCAGATTGGATATCTAAATCTGTCTTTAGTTTAGATTAAAATATTTGGCATTGGCCACTAGTGATGCACAAAGTTGTTGAGCAGCTGCTCTTCAGCAGCAGTTTGAAAACAAACTACAGTAATTAACCACCTTCAGGCACCAGCAAAGAGATGCTGGGTTGGATCCCCCCCCCAGGAGAAAGTGGGGTTATTCCTGTCAGCTGCAGCAGCAAAGCAGCTCACAACAGTAGAGAGCTCAGCTGCAAGGCCTTAGCATGAGAAATCCAGGACTTGGCAGGATCTATCCTGATATCACTTTCTCCCAAATATCCTCACTTTTAGAGGCTTCAGTCTGGAAACCTACTTTCCAAGAAAAGGTGAATTAATATACAGGCAGGGAGATTGGAAAAGAAGCTTCATACACAGCCCCWGGCTAGGATTGAAATACTGCTGATTTGGCCTTTAGTTGTTCATGTTCTTCTTTTCCCTTTTGCAATTAGTTAGTTTAAACTTCACTGACCTTTTTGCAACAGGCTCAGGCAGCCCACTTGTCCATAGTATGCAGCTTCATGGAGGGGTATCCAGCCATCCTTATTAGGCTGAGAAAGATTTTTTCCTGATTTCATCATGTTGCATACTGCTTTTTCATCTCCATCCTTGATTGCCGCCACTACAGGGTCAATTTCTCTTTAAAACAAGATTAAAACTTGGTTATTGCTTCCTTCATTGCTGAGAAGCTTTCTACAGCAACATGACTGTTTTATTTGGCCAAAATAGTGAATCCCTGCAGCCTGTATAGCAAGTGTTTGCACAGTGAGACACCATAGGGCCTCTAAAGGTAAAATTTTTCTTCTCTAATTTTGTCATTGTCAGCAGATGAGAAGAATCAGAGTGTAAGGAAAGTGTAGGTGTAACTAATTTCTGACAGAAATACTTCTATTTTAGATATCTGGAGTTGTGGAAGACCAGCTCTGACCTTGCTCTGTACATTGCAGAGTCCATGACTGTGATAATTCCATCAGCTCATTGTCCCACGTGGCATGGTGCTTTCATATGAGACCTTTTTAATGAGATCAACTTTGAAGAGAATTACTGTTCATCCTTAAGTTTTAGATTTGATTTGCAGGTRTCTTTAACAGAAATGATCAATAAATCTTACTCTTGCATTTTGAAGATATCTTCATATTTACTCACATAATCCTGTTTTCAGAATTTAGCCAGCCCAGTTATGAGGAAGGGAGAGCTCTGGTCAGACCATGTGAACACTGGGGTGTTGGTCTTGGCTCTCCTTTCTTCATCCAGAGAGGACTGGGAAAAATCCCTCTACCCAAATCCCTGTGCCAAGCGTGCATTCCGCACACTCCGGGCAGCAACCCATTCCTCCACTTCTCTGAGTRTTTGCAGAGCAGGGCTGACCTGGGCACCCCAATCCGACTGCAGAGCAGCAGTGACAGCTCCTGTGAGTCTCCCCATGCAGCAGGAGKCCCAGCACTGCCTGACAGCCACTGTGCCTGGGTCACAGTGCCTGGAGCAGGACCTGCCACCCTCCTTCCGCGCCATCTGGGGCTGCTGGCAGCGTGGCAGAGGTGGGCAGCTGGGGAGCTCCTACCCTGCAGCCAAGGCAGGCTGGACCCTTGCCCRTTGTGGGCAGCAGTGGTGGGCTGTGCCTTCCACTCTTGGCTCTGCTTGGGCTCCAGCTGAGCTGTGCTGGGACAAGGCAGCCCCAGCTTTGTTATTGTGATGCATTAAATCGCTAAAATTCAGCACAGCCAACACCACAAAAGGAAGAAGCCCTTTACCACTTCTGATGGGGACTTGAAAAAAATGAACATGGGCTATAGTTTCGGAGACAGAAAACAAGAAGTTGCAGAAACACCGGTGCAATTGAGGTTTGAACTGGCTCTACAGAGAAAAACTTGCAGTTCTAAAGCCAGAGAAACTCAGGAGAGAGGTACATGTCTCAGAYTATTAGCATTGCCAGGGCAGGAATAAAGCATGTGATGGACGTCATGCTGGCTAGTGATGATGGGAACAACCAGAAACTCCAGTTATGACAGGAAGAAAGCTTAAAATACCACAATAGAGTGAGATCAGACACAGAAAAATATGGGCAGGTCAGCACAGGAGTCCTCACAAAGCAGTGTACTAGTACAACCTCTGCACTTAGTGGGAATTACAGGAGCAGCTCTGGATTCCATTGCATTGTAGGGGCTGGACAGACCAGCAGCCCGAAACTCACACAGACCTCACTAATTTCAGCTTGCCCAAAGGTACACAATCTATGGCATGAACACTGACATTAGCATTGCAAGAAGTCACCAAGTTGCTGCTCTGAGCATAAATTCAGGGCCTGGAATGGAGCGGGTTATCTCAACACTTGTGCCAGATTATGGGAAAAGACACCATTTCACAGGTGAAATAGTACTTGGTGCCGCTTGCTCCTTCTCTACAGCTGGAAGCAGTGATTTCAAGACAGTAGGGTCACAAAAATAGCAACACTGGAATGAGGAGAGATACGGGACACAAGGCCAGGCATTTTGCCTGAGAAGATAACAGCTAGAACAGGCAGCTGCTGTCCTGGCCATGGCCCTCCCAGGAGGAATGGACCAACCTTCTGATAACTGCTGGCCGGATGTCCCAGGGACACCGCTGTATCTCCACACTGCTTCGAGTACCCTGAGGACTCAACCTAAGATTGATAGTTGTGTACATAAAATAGATTTTTATACAGGTGTTGAAAATTGAGCACTTTGTTGAAGTTAGCTCACAGCAACTGTTGGCATGTTTGGCTRGGAGGAGGCAGAGGTGGGGGATCTTCATCTTTCAACACCTCTGGCTGCTGAAAACATCTGTTGTTCTGTGCAAAGGCTCATGTTACACATGTAGGGCCGTGACCTCAGGATTTGGGCACATGATATAATTACTGGTGCTTAATGAATTACTGCATGCCAGGTGGGCCAYGGCAGCAGTCTGTGCATGGGGCTGGCACACAGCACATGCAAGGTAAATCACATTATCTGAGACCTCAGGGAAAGCAGGAGGGCACCTCGGATCTGTGCTAGGGTTAAAAATGTGTGACGAATCAGTTACTGTTCTGCTTAAGCCCTCAGATGTTGAATGAAGCAAACTTCTGTTGGGTTCCTTGACCTTAAATGATTCCTGAGTAAGATGAGGGRGTTTGCTGGACCAGGCTGCTGATGCCTTAGCCAAGAAAATTCCAGATCAGAACAGAAAGTTTAATGAATCTACATGTGAAATCCCTGTTTTCCGCCTGGCTTATAGTTGGCTGTTACAAAAACCCACCACATTGTGCAGCCTGGATTTCATCAGATGTAGAAAATAAAAATATTAAAACTATGGAGGAAGTCTGAAAATCTAATGAAATCTTAACCTTATAGGAAACTCAAAAGAATTACTGCATTTCAGAGATCAACAGGCAAGATAATAAATGCTCCTTGCAGATGAGATGTATGGTGAGGTCAATTCTGAGTGCTGAAGAAGAGGTTCAGTGGAGCATAGAGAGGTTCAAGAAGCTCCTTTTCCTGACAGCCTGGAGAGATGCAGGCAGCATAAAGCAACACTTCCCCAGGTGATATCATCCCTGCCTAGGGCTATAAAACAGTCATGCCATCATGCTCTCCTAGGGCTTCCCAGCTATAGTTTTGCTCTACTTGGCAGCAGAGGAGGGCTAGTTTATCAGCCTTCTTGAAGACTGAACTCTATTGAGCTACCTGTTGGAGAAGAGCAGCCTTCTGCTGCACCCAGAGCATTGGAGAGGCATACAAGGAGTGCACAGCTCATAGTGAGAAGATGCAATTTCAGGGTGGCCAAGGGAAGGTGGCAGGTGACAGGGGTAAGGCAGGCCTCATGTAGCAGGAAGAGGCTTCCACAATGTCAGGGAGTGCAATGCCAGTGGAGGGCCAGGAATGGTGTGAATCACCCAGGGTGCAGGGAGAGGTAGGGGAGATTGTAGAGCTGGGTGAGGGATGAAAGGAAGAAGAGAGGTGGAAGGGTAGTCACTGCACCTGTGCATCCAGAGAGGCACTTGTAAGATGGATTAAACTAGGTTTGAACTGGAAAGATAGAAGAGGCAGGACACAGGGAAGTGCTGGCTATAACACTTTCCTCCTGTCATCCGATAGCTAAGGGCAGGTGCATGTATCTATTCTGCCCTGCAGAGAGCTGTAATAAACCCATCGTGGTGTAGTTATTTCTACTACACACAGGCACTGGGACACAGCTTGGGCCACTGTCTGCTTTTCTCATCCATCACTGTGTTCAACCAAGCTCATTTGCAGCCTCTGCCAACAGCAAAACATGTCCAGGAGGATCAGTCAGTCAAGCTGGTTTCCTCCTTGGACAAGTAAGCACCCCTCACTGTGGCAGGACAGCACAGGTGGGGCTGGGAACAGGTGTGTTGGGAGCATTTATAAAATACTTGCTTCAAAGGACTGGACTTTCYCACCTCTTTTATACACTGTGATACATTTATCCCCTACGTTTCCCCATTGCTGAACACTGAACTTAATGCCAATGCATTTACTATCAGCACCTGCCTGCCTCATCTACGCTGTTGATAAGTGAGCCAGCCTGTATAAATAAACCACAGTGCAGTTGTCCCTTCCCTGCTGTCCTTGTCAYCTCAGAGCCTGACTGACCCAGAGTCCCCAGGACACATGAACTGGCGGGATGGAGAGAGATGAAGGGGGAGAAGAGAACAAGGGAGATTTGAGGTGGGTCACCTGCAAGAGCATGGTCTGGGCAGCCGTGAGGTTGGAAGGAACAACAGGAGTGCAGCGAGGGTGATGTGCAGGTGTCAGCGAGACCTCCWCCAGATGAACACGGCCATTTCCCCCCACCAGGCACCATCACCACCCACAAGAGATGTCTCGGGGGAGAGCGGGTAGCAAGGCTTGTTGGACCGCAGGGGAAAGCAGAAGAGGGAGAGGGAGACACTTACACGGCCTGGGATGTGCCGGACAGGCTGCTGTCGTACCTTCGCCTGAGCCCCCAGGCTGCCCCCGAGCTGGACGGCTGAGCACGGCCTGTCTGCTGGGCTGCCAATCTGGAGTGGCGATGACAGGCATGGAATAAGGAGAAATACTCCGAGTAGGAGAAACAGGTCATGCTGAGGCAGAGACAGAGACACGCATCCACAGAGACGCAGCGACAGCGCCTGCCGCTCAGGGCTTTGAATAAAAGCAGATGGCCACGGCTTGCTCTGCACTGGATTCAGCTGCTCACTCGGCTCGAGTTTATTTTTGGCCCTCTGAGGAAGCGTCAGGGGATTCAAATGACCATATAAGACAACAGTGTGGTTAACCCTACCACCACCACACAGGAAGCAGGCACAAAGTGAGGTGAGGTGACATTTGTCACCTCTGGAGTGCAATGCAAGCGGGTCAGAGGTGGGGCCAGAGGAGGAGCCAGAGCCTCTGGATGTCAGCTCCATTTCCAGCTTGGCTCTCCCAGGTGATGGAAGAGTTCAGCAATTCTATGGATTTGGTGCTACAAGCTCTAAGCTTTTCCCTCCTGTTAGAGGTCAAACACTGCTGGGCTGAGGCAAAGGCAGGACAGGTTAATGTGCAGAACTGCTAATGCTGCTTTTTGCCAAAATAGCAGGTGTCAAGGACTTCCAACAAGGACAGGACCACATGGCCAGGGAAGCCCTTATTGTCCCCTKCCTCGGGTCCCTACAGGAGAGCTGACTGTTCGAGTGCACAGTAACCACATCCTTTGGGAAAAACCACAGCTTTTGGGGGGAGCAGGGCTGCTGGCTGCACTGCATCCTGATTCCACAGCTATGCACATGCTTGCTGCTCATCCAATTGTCCCCAGTTTCCCAGCCCTGGAAACCAAACAACCCAGGGGTAATGAGCAAGGCATCAGAGGGTGGTGGAGTTATGAAAAAGGAGGAGGAACAGAACTTTGGCAGCTCTCAGTTTATTAAAAAAGGAAAAATTAAAGTAACTTAAAATATTAAAAGGATATTTTTCCTTGTTTTGGAGGTAACTTTGGAACCTATTCCTTTCCCCCTTGAGAATCTGCCTTTTATAAAATGAAAGGGGAATGACATCTGGGTTTGAAATTGCTGGGAGATCTCTGTGACCACAGCCCAGCATTGCTGCCACAATTTGGTGTCTGGATCTGCTCTTGGCTAAGAGTAGTGTGCTTGAAATCAGACTGACCTGAAATAACCACATTGTTTAAAAACTGAAGTGTTTAACAGGTAGTCTGCTCACACTGTTTTATATACCTGTTTTTTGTGCCTCTCTTATGTTTTTCCCATAATAAATGCTTTGCTCCCTCTCTGTCAAAATCTAAGCTTGGCATACAATGGGGGAAAGGAACAGCTAGCTTTGGGAAGGTTTCTGTTGTTCAGGAAACCTTGTGGCCATGCCTCTTTTTTGGTTTTATCTGTTGCTTAAAACAGACAACATCAAGCAAATTCTCCTCTTTCTGCGAGCACATAAATTGTTGACCTCACTGGATTTGTAGCAGACTCCGGCTCCCTCACTAATGACAGACTCGCCCAGGAGCCGCCTGGCACAGCTAATTAGAGAGCGTGTGTGCTGACAGGGAGCCTGTTTTCCCTTCCTGGGCAGGGCTCTCTGCAGGGAACAGCCGGCGCTGGCACTCGCTTACCTTTGCCAGGGGTAGATGCGGTAGGGAGGGTTGTGGGGGCTGGCACGGCTCGGGGTGGCCACCTCACCAGCACGGGCCACCATCGRCTTCTGGGGGCTCTGGGCCGCTGGCTGACCCGCAGGGTCCTCCTCCAAGCTCTGCTGRATGGCCATCTTTATGAGCTCGTCTTCACTCAGGCTGCTGTACAGACTGTACTCCTCGCARCCTATCGTTTGTCTCTGAGTATTTGCTGCCGTTGTAGCCATTTTTACAATTCTTTGCTTTCCTGTAAAAGGAAGTGGTGATCATCAAAATCTGGAAAATGAAAAAAACTCAACTATCTTGTGCTGTTGTTCAGGTCTGCCACCACATTAGGCTGACCAGAAAACCCTTCAGAAACCCTTCACCAGGGAGAGAACATTATCAGCTAAAATCTGCATGTAAACTTAATGAACTAGCTCTTTTCAATTACACAGAAATAACTGGTTTAGCTGGTGTTTGAAAAAGGGGGAGTTGCTGCAAGCAAGGCAGGTTTTTATCTGCTTATTCTGGTTACCACATCTCAAGAGAAAAATAGGCAAAGGAAATCCCCTTAAGATTGAAGAGATACATTTTTGAATTTTATTTAGGAGAAGACTGATGGATGTCTCTTTTTACTGATCTTATTTCTTGCTGTAATTGCAGGAATTGAAGGGAAAGTTTGTCTCTTTGCTGGTTTTCTGTAAGGACAGGCCCTCTACCATGAAGTGCAAAGAGGCTTTGTAATTTTTTCCATCTTATCTGGARATCTCTCAAGCAACATGCAAAGCTATGCTTTGAAGTGACTTTGTTTCGCTCAGCGAGGACAGCAACACCGCACTGCTCCGTTTCACTTCTGATTTTTTGCTTTTTCACAGAACAAAGTTCAAAGTTCACGAGCAAGATGGAAATGAGAGAAGGGTGAAACATTGGGTACACTCAACAATCACAGAATGACTGTGAACCACCACTGCAGGACTCTAAAAGGCAAAACCAATCCAAAATACTGCAGAATTTCCCGCAGTGCTAGGGAAGTACTAATGCCATGWATGGTACAAGGCTCTAGCAGTATCTCATTTGGATGCCAGAGAGCACTCTGGCCATCAGGGTTCAAGAGCCAAGGGTTTATTTTATGAGAGGAGGTAGAAAAGCTTGCCTCTTCTATGAAGATAACAACAGAATAGGTTTGATTTTGTGAGAACAAGGTTAAATCATGGGGAGCACTGGGATGAGGAGCAATGGGAACGAGCTGCTCAGGAGGAAGTGAATGAGACAGGGAGGACAGGGACCCAGCAGGAGGGGACAGTGGGGGCATGTCCCCCAGGTTCAGAGGGATGAGGGGCTGCCTGAGAGCACCGGTGCAGTTGCCAAAAAAGCTGCCTGCCCCCACCCTGTGGCTGCCAGTCCCTGTCCCATCAATGCCACAGCAGGGTTGGTCTCCTRCTCCACATGGCCCTGCTCCCGCCAGGATCAGGTCTGGCCAGCAGAGCCCTGTTCATGAGGACAGCAGAAGTGCCCAGCTTCCCCCTGCTCAGGGCTTGCCCCAGCAGGAGCCTTGGGGAGCTGTCAGCTCCCTTTCCCTGCACAGCTTCCCTCTCCTCCAGCCTGGTTTGCTGTGCAGTCACATCAGCACTGACTGGACAGGGGTCCAGCGTGCCACGAGCCTCAAACCAGGAAAGTGCCCTGCTGCAGCAGCCCTGGCTGCCGTGTGCACAGCCAAGAGACAGTTCTGACCTGGAGGGAATGGCAGCTCCCCAAATACAGTTTGAAGAAATTGCAAGAGCTTGAATCAACCAAATAACTTAAAATCTTGGATTTAGGCTTTTCACTTCAGACATGGTGCCATCTCCCACATCCACAGCCACCACAGGCTCCAAGCCCGCTCCAGCAGAAGAGGGAAGACTTCAGGGTAAAGGGAAGCCCAGCRGATTTCAGATTGACAGTATGATTTTTAACAACAAAGGATGTATTTTATAGCCATGAAAAATGCCAAAATGAAACCTTCAATTTCTGCAAATAATGCAATCAAATTTTGGCGGGTTTTCTGTTTTTCTGTTTTTTTTTTTTTTTTTTTTTTTTTTTTTTTTTTTTTTTTTTTTTTTTT